AAAGAATCCCCCCCCCCCCAATCTGCCTTTACTATTCTGGCAAAACACTTTTCTTTTTCTTTTTTCCTTTGATTTTCTCAAGGGATATCCATTTTCCAGAAAACTTTGGAAGAAAAAGACATGTCGTCCGTAGTTCATGCTAATTGACAATTAAGGTTTTTTTTTTTTACAAGAAAAGATAAGTATTGAGTAGCTAGCTAAATTATCGAAATATTTGTCTAACTATCCTTTGTCTCTCCCTTAAACGTCTCATTTAACTAACATTTCACTAATTAGAAGAATAATAAGGTTGGATTTAAAAAAGAGTAATAAATGACTTTTTATTTTTCTAAAACATCAATTATATTCGACCATAGGTAGTACAAATAAATTATTCGGAAGTAGCTCTAGGGAAAGTTTTTTCTTTTGTTGATAATGATATTCCCTTACCTATTTCTTTTCCTTCTAGTTTTATGTACAGATGAAAACCAACCAACGGAATTCTATGACTTTCTACAAGTGAATACTGACTCTAACAAGAGTGAGGTGATAGACCATACGTCTAGAATAAGAAATGATGAGGAAATTGAACAGGAAGCTGTTGATCTTCATCAGAGCGCACAATTCATAGATTTCTTATCAGTTGGAGACTCAGCATAAACTTGTATATATCAAGAAAAATCCTCTAGTTTAGAACATATGTATAATGCTCTGATCTTTACTGTGAAATCCTAGAGATTTCTGCATGGATGAAGTTCCAGAATATTCCAATATAATTGTATTAGAAAAACAAAAGATTAACTTTTAGATCTATAAAAATGATCTTGTTCATGTAATTCAAACAATTGAGACGCTACCAGGTTAGTTGAAAAACAATTACAAGTATTTGTGTGTATTATTAAATACACGTTAAATGGTATCAAATTTTATGTCTTTCACGCTTTAAATGTCCAGTTGTGGATGTGTCAACGAATTTAGTTAGTCTCACGTTTGGTGAAGGCGAACTATAGTCGCTTTTTACATTCTTGTAACTTCACCTCATGAGCAAGTTATTGAAGTTAAGATTGATTCAATATTCGCTTTTCTGAACAAAATCAAATTAATGGGCAAAAGGATTTTTGAAAACTGGCACATAGAGTAACTCACAAACATCTGAACTGAGAACCAAGCATGCGGATATTCTATATTATAGACTTAATTTCAGTTGATTTCATATATATTCTTGATTTTACTACACTATTACTCATGTTCATCATTAATAATTTTATGGTGTTCTGTTCTATCTATCATGTAGAATACTAGCAATTTTATATTCCATCAGATAAAGTAGCTAGCTATTTCAATATGGTAACATTGTAAGTAAAATTTATATCTATTTAATAATATAATATGGTAAATTTCGCAAATGATCACCTAACTTTACATTTTTTGTGCACCAAGTCACAGGACTTTGTTGTCACATGGAAGTCACAACAATATCACCATGGTAACTAAATGGTCATTATTGCCGGAAATGTGTGAACTTATTTGTATCAGTTTCCCAAAAATCAAGTTGTTACTGTTCATCACCCTGAAATTAAATAATTGTATTTTGTAGAGAAATAGGCTTGAATTAATTAATATACCATGACGAATAGTGCATAATCACTATTCCCTCCATCCCAAATTAATTGTTATATTCGTTTCTCGAGAGTCAAACTTTATTATTAAAAAAATTATAATCTGTAATAATTTTCATATAAATTTTAATATCTAAATTTTAGTTTTAAAATGTTAAGTTGACTTAATTCAATTGACTTTCGAAAAGTGAAACATGACAACTAATTTAGGATTAAAGAAGTATAGATCAGCAATATAGCAGAAGACTTCTCAGTATACCAGCAAAATGTATTCTTTAGTTATGCGTCTGCAATGCTGTACATTATTCGTCGTATTGATCACATACGTTTTGAACTGTAAATTACATAGCAAAATCAGGAATTTAAAAGAACAGTTATCGTCAAGGAGAAAAAAGGTTATAAATCTATTAACATCATGGTTAATTTCTACCATTATTAATTCTCCATAATGACACTGAGGTACTAATACTATGCGATTTGATGCTGTTTAGGAATTGAAAATCGTGATTAATGGTTTTGACAGGACACATAACAACTCTTCAGGCCCCTCCCTGCCCCTCACAAGCGGCGGATTCAGGATTTCAACAGGATGGATACACTATTGCGAAAAGGTGGATCTAGAATTTACGTTTGACGGGTTTAACTTTAGTCTCTTACCATGAACCCATTATACTTTTAAAATTATAGGTTCAAAATTATATTCTTTTTGAAACTTTAGTAATTTACACACATATACATATATACTCCGTCCGAAAACAAGATTGTTCAGAGTGAGATTTGAACTGTCAATTTCACTTATAGAGGTACACCTATATACTTTTGACGGGTTTAACTTTAGTCTCTTACCATGAACTCATTATACTTTTAAAATTAATTATAGGTTCAAAATTATATTCTTTTTAAAACTTTAGTAATTTTCACATATATATCTATACTCCGTCCGAAAACAAGACTGTTCAGAATGGGATTTGAACTGTCAATTTTACTTATAGATGTACACCCAATAATAATACACCATAAGAGTCTTTGGGCATGGGTTCAATATACATATAGTTAAGTAATTTGAGGAATACAAAATTGTTATACATGGTTTAGGGAGAGGAGTATAGGTTCAAGTGAATCCATACCCCTCGACTTGAATACGCCTCTGCCTCACCCCACTCCCACTCTCACCCCACCCCCACATCACACACACTCACAAATCATGTACATTCGACGTGTCACCTTTGAGTAACATTAAGGATGGTGAAAATTCTTGGATGGGCCCAATTTGTTTGTCATTCAATTGATTATAACGTGGTTAATGAGTTAATCATCCATTGACCAGATTTTAATTAACGCACTAGTTCAGGGTGAATTCCCCTCCAACTTTGTAAAAACAAAACAAACTGAACTCTGATAAAGTACAGTCTAGTTGGAACTAAAGCAATATATTGTCATTCTGGAAGAATATAACACACGAAATAAAAATTATAGCATTATGAACTAGTTCATCAATAGTGTTGCATTCTCTCTTCTTTTTTTTTGGTTCAAAAATATTAAAATTTTATTATTTCTAATGTCTACCAAATTGTTTCTATTGCATTAGGTGACGTTTTAACTATTGCAAAAATTAATTGAATCATACCGTTATTCAAGAAAAGTTGAGATGATTGAGACAGTTTCAAAAAGTTTAATATTGATTATATATAGGAATAACTGAAAAATGTTAAATGTTCTACGGGTCAGTTTGTAATAACAGGAAGTTAGAGGAGTTAGTTGTTATAGTTGGTTAGAGGTCGTTAACACTGTTCTATATAAGAACTAGCAGATATGTACTCAGTACACAGGAAATGAAAATATTCCCTCTATTATCTCTCTAGAGACTAGAACCTTCTTCTGACTATCGATTCCTACTCTTAGCATGTTGCAATTGATAGTGTTCCACACTGAATCAGAGTTAGTTGATATTTGACATTATATCAGAGTAACGAACATGAGGACGTTAGCTCCGACGAGATATTCCGGCGAAGTAGCTAGAATTTGGGGAAATTCACCGCCGACGAAGCACAATTCCAATCCGCCATGGCAGAAAATGAAGTAACCTCACTCGAGCACAATCATCCTCTATTTCTTCAAGCAACAGATGCTCCATGACTAGTTTTGTATTCAATTAAGCTCACATGGCCGGAAAACTATGCCTTGTGGAGTAGGGCAATGAAACTAGCACTTATGGGGAAAGGCAAGCTTGGATTTGTAGATGAAACATGTGTAAAAGGCTCGTACAAAGGAGAATTCGTGGCGCAATGGAAAAAATGTGATGTGATCGTATTGTCATATATTGGAAGCACAGTCTTCAGTGAATTGATGCCAAGCATAGTATTTGCACCTAATGCTAGGGGCATGGAGTGATTTTAAGGAAAAAATTGATAGATGGAGTTTGACAAGGATATATCATCTCTGGACATAAATTGCTCGTTTAAAACAAGGCACAGATTTTGTAACAACCTACTATACAAAAATGTCAAACTTATGGAGTGAATTAGATGTGTTGGTGCATCTACCATCTAGTGATTGTGAGGAATCGAGACCTTCACAACAGGAAATATAATTTTTTGTGGCAATATTTTTTGGCAACTTATGTCACGCCCCAAACCTGGGGAGGCGTGGCTGGCACCTGGTGCCGTGCTGCCCGAGCGAACCACTCTGTAACTCATGATCGTTCGACCAAAACTAGAACATATATAGGTCGAGTTAGTTGAACTCATTCCTTTTGTAACTATTTTGGGCCCACATGGCCACAACTCATAATGTACAACTGTAAGTAGGAAACATTGTATCAATGAACCATCTTTCTTAAAACATGAATACACATGGGCCGTCAAGGCCTCTAATATACTGTACAAAATGAACCCCTGTCTATAAAGCCTCTAAGATTATTTGACATCAAATGGGACAGGGTACCGGCCTACCCATAAATCTGTAGCAAAACTCTGACACGATGACTTATAGATTCGACTGCACTCCGAATGAAGTGGAGTCTTATCGACCCTTCGCTGAATGCTAACCTCGTCTACTATGAGGGCTCGACCAACTGATTATCTATACCTTAGGCTTAAATGCAGCGTCCCCAACAAAAGGACGTCAGTACGAATAATGTACTGAGTATGTAAGGCAGAACTAAAATATATCCATAAGTCAACATTAATTAAAGAGATATAAGAATCAACATGAATCTCTGCAATGCCACCGTATATGCATACTTAGTATACTTATATATATAATGCTTCTCTTTGAGACTATTAGCAATATCGTGTGATGCATGACTACCCAACTTATCTGTGGTAACTGCCCGACCGGCCGTAGCGCGGTGGTAAATGCATGACTGCCCACCCGAATGTAGCTCGGTGGTAAATGTGTAACTGCCCAACCAGCCTTAGCTCGGTGGTAAATGCATGACTGCGTGACCGGCTGTAGCACGGTGATAAATGAATATACAAGTCTGCCCAACCGGCCGTAGCACGGTGGTAAATGCATGAAGCTGCATGTATCACTATATTATAAACATTTAAAACTTTATCAAATACCTCAATAGAGACTTAGGAACATACTTAGACATGCTTGAATATCACTTTACAGAATGAATAACATAGACATCCTTAACTGCTACCATTTATGGAATAGCATTACGTTTACGTATCGTTACTTGGATCATGCCAAAAGAAAATAAGGGATAGCCTTAACATACCTGAGCCGGTTCTCTTAATAATCCCTCTAATATACGTCTTTTACGAAAAATACGTAACGCCCGATCGAAGTAGGAAAAAATCCTTAAGATATTCTTGATATCATAGCATGTTATTTCTTATCCGACTAATAATCACTTCATACTCTACATCATCAAACAATTTGCTTCCGGCCTTCTTCTGCCATGTATTCCCAAAATTTCTCCAAGTTCATTACCAATAATAAAACCAAGACAAAGGAAATTATCAAAGGCAACTTATGTGTTATTCCTCCAAAGACAACTTATGTTATTCCTCCAACGTGTAAACAAAGCCACTTAGGTATTATGACTCATCATACACCTTGGTGCCACCAAGTTACATGGCTCTAAGAGTCATTAATTTGGAATGTGGGGGGAGGGGGGGGGAGGGCTACCACGTTAGGCCTTGTAGGCCTTATCCAAACTTTTAATTAATCTTTCACTAAAATTATTAATTACCCACTTATCCACATAATGAGAATTATCCCAAATTAATTAAAATACTACTCACTTTTAACATATCTCATACACCTTACTATCATGGTCATGTGGTACCATATAAAATCAAT